TATAAATCCCCAAAAGTTTGACTGCTCTATTAGGACTTATCTAAATATATCTAGTAAATTTCACTCTATAGCTAACTTGCTTATTAAATCATCTGTATACCAAGTACTTATTGTACATCTATTGTATGAAGTGTGCTTTTATAGACCTTGGACATACAACAGTGAACAAAATGAAGTCCCTGCCCTCAGTGTGCTTATTTTCCAGTGAGCTTATATATCGTACATAACTTTTGATGAAGACACATTTATTCTTTTATCTAAAAATATTGTCTTATCTAAATGTATTTGGTATTTGAATAGTTACAAAGAACAGCCAATATTACACTAGCTGTTTCTGAGTGTGAACAATAAAATATTTGTTGTCTCTCTGTTCCCGTCAGATGGAGACCTGTGGCCACTGCTGCTCTACGTCCTTAGCCATGTAAACATATGAAAAAAAGTTGAGTGATGTAGGTAGAAATGAAATTAAGGAAATCAGGTCAACTTTTTTCATAAGTTACATACATTTCTTATAGTTAAAGTTAATTTAACATGACTTGTAATTGCTGGTTTTCAAACACCATTATCAATCTTTTGCTTTTCCATGTCACCATTAACTTAGGGAAAAGGACCTAACTTCTAAAGTAGGCTGAGCACAACATGCATTGTAAAAAGGCAAAAACAAAATCAAAAGTTCTAATTAGGTTGAATCTACTGATATTTTTTTAAAAGTTAATAGAAAAATTTAATATCTTTGTTTTCCTTTAAATAAAGGATGCATGTTTACTATAAGATAACAGATCAGAAATGCATAAATTAAAAAGTGCTATTCGTATAGAATTACAGTACTTACAGGTCTAAGTAATTGATTTTTGTATGATTTATATATGGTTCTAGAACATTGATCAGCCTTATCAGATTTCTTAACTGGTCAGATATTCCATAGTCCATAACACTAATAGCTTCTAGAACAATTTATATATTCAAAAGTAATTTATTGAGAGAACATTCAATGCTGAATAGGAATTATATTTTAAAACATGGTTCTTAGAACATACATTTATATTTAATGTCAGTGCAGCCTGGAAGAAGAGGGAACAAGACACTGACTCTTGATTTTATAGACTCACAGGACATCAGCGTTAGAATCTCATAGACCATCTGGTGCAGCAAGCAAGGGAGAAGGGCGAGAAGCTCCCAGGTGTGCTATGATACACACTCAGACAGACCACTTTGAGAACCACTGACTTCATCTGACTCCATCATTTTATAGACAAGACTGGGGTCTAAATAAGTAAAGAAACCTGTCAAGTCACACATTTAGGGAGAGGCAGAGATTGGAGCAGGAGCACCTGACACCCACCTGTCTTTGTTCTGTTGTGCTAAACCTTTTGTACATTGCTATAAAATCCCTCTGCTCTCTAATGGTTAGGTTGCCCAAAAAAGCTTCTGTTGTATCAGAGGCATGTCTTCTAACAAAAGAGCTCACAGGTTTGGGTTATTAATAATAGATTTTGGTTGTTGTGGTTGTATTTTGCTTTTGGAAAGTGGAGAGGGAAGTTTAAGGCTAAAAACATCACTATTATTTAGCAACAAACCAACATGTAGGTTTTAAAGTTTAGAGAGAAAAATAGCAGTTGGATTTACATAAATGTTTCTGCACCCTCATACGCGCACGCAAGCACTCACACACACACACACACACTATAGTGATGATGGTTTTCTATTTATCATCATAAAATTAAGTGACTCAATACAAAAAAATGTTTTCGAAGAGGGATCTGTCTCTGAGTGTGCTTAGCCCTCAGTAGGGGGAGAACATATCACCCACTCCAAGTTCTTTTCTCTCTCGCTAAGTCATGAAACTGCCATGATGGTCTCCAAAACAAGTATCCCAGCCCTCCAGGACCAGGGAAAAGGTCACCAAACAACACATAGCAAGTGAGTGCTGGGGAAGTGGGTAAAAGGGAGAATGAAACATCTGCAATACAACTGCAGTTCATCCAAGTTGAGAACTGTGATCCCAGGTCACCTTTCCCCTGCATGGAACACCACTGAGCGTAGCTGGCATGTTAATAAGGTGTATGCTGCTATTTCTGCCACCAGTGGGGATGAACTCAAACCATTAAACTCTCCCTTCCTTTATTTTGCAATAATCTGGGATGCATGATTTCTATATGTGCCCAACTCTAAACCTGTGAGGAATAATTTTCATTCTGTTAACCCATGGTAGAGAACTGACTGAGAACAATGACACAGGTTAGAGGGGAGGTGTTCTAGTCTCTACATTCAAAAAATACTGTACTCTTCAGTATTAACGTGACTCTTAAAAAATTACAACTGACTTCGATTGACTTACGACTGGCCAAATATTATGTCCATTGCTTTACAAAACTAGCTTTATTTAATTCTTACAACAACTGATATGTTGATGCAGTTTTGCATTTGGGGAAGCTGTGGCTTAAAGAGGTTAAGTACCTGGCCTAAGATCCACAGTCAGTGAGGAACAAAGCTGGAATTGAGATCCAAATTTGTATAGCAACACAGATGGTGCTTCTGATGTGCTGCTTTCTCTAATTTTACACACAGACCTACAGCACCCATCCTAATATTAAACATTAGCTTAGAAAATCTGTAATTTAGTTTTATGTACAGTTTTGGCAGAAATTAACGAAATCTTCTGTGTGTCAAATTCTGGATCATTTCAACTGGAGTTCCCCTGATGATATCACAAACAAGCCTCTGATGATCCCAATGAGGAATCATACACTGGAAGTTTCCACAAATGCCAGCTCATTCCTTGGAGCTGACTAAAGACAAATTGAGGAGTAGCAACTAGATGAAACTAGTCAAGGCTTTTTTCTTTAGGAAATTTACCCCAGCATCCAGATACCCTCATGGCAGTGATTTTACAACTTAAATGGATATACTGAATAAGTGTTTTTTTTTTTTTTCTCTTAAGGAAAGAACATATCCCCAACTCATTAGTCCTGGGCCACACTGAAGACCCATGCTGGAGTGGGAGCTGTTTTCTGCACCATTGGCTCACTCACCCTTGGCCTTGTTCATTTTTTTGTGAGTCACTCGCTGCCATTATTTTTATTTTTTAATTTTTAAAAAATATTTATTTATGCATATAAGAACTGGGGTGTAAGCCAGAGGTACAAGGGGGAGAGAGGATTCACCAGAGAGAGTAGGGAGCAGAATAGGGAGATCGACTGAAATACACTGCTGAGGGGAGCAGTGGGTGAGACAGGAGAGGTCTGCTGTGCCATGTGGGTTAGTCCCTGGCTGCCCAGGATCGAACTCTGTGTTACAGTGGCTGTTGATCGCTTGATAGCCCTGTCTTTAACCCCTGAGCTACCAGGGAGGCCCTGCCATTATTTTTATATAGTACAACATCTAATGCTTTTATTCAGTAACCAAAACTATAGAGTCTTCTATGATATTGTTTTAATTGGGCACAAAATTAAATACATTCCCAAAGAGAAATGAAACTGAAAGGAACTAGTTAAGATTGCAGCCCTGAGTGTTCTTTTGGGGTCACAATTGCTAATAAAAGATGCAAACTGTCCATTTTTGTCAGTCCTAGCTACCTTTTGACCTGAAGACCTATGAAGTGGGGTGTTTAGAATAATTGGTAGGGAAACTGGAAACCGCTTTCAACTGTTACTGGAATAATTTTTGCATCCTCAAACAGTGCGATTCATCTTTTACGTTGTTCATGTTACGGTAAGTTTAAGGAGAGTCTTCAAGGAAAAGAAAAAAGTTTGACTAATGAAACCAAACCTACATAATAGTCTGCAGTCTGATCCTATCATATTTTCTCCAACCTTATTAAGATTATGGCTCAGTTTCAAATAAAAATTAATTACTAGCTTGTGGTTAATGAAGAGTCTGGCCAAATTAATTTATAATTGGGAGACCCGCTATTTTTATCTTACTCTTCACTTCCCAGGTGACTTCAGTCAGTAAATTTCATAGAAATGAATATTTTTAAAAAGTATGCGTGGTTTCCCCATTCAGCACCTCTCTGAATTAAATGATTACTGTTAGCAAATATACACAGTCATTTTAAGACCTTGCTAGTCCTTTTTTGATAACGTGAGCTTGGCTAAGATCTTGTGGCTTGATGACGAATTCTTGGTAACATTATCCTTTCTGACAAATTTAATTAAGGCAAGTTAGACTTTTAAAAACTGGTTGTGTATATAATAAGCATGAGTAGCTTGCTGTGTTCTATTTGGTTCTTGGAAAAATCAGGTTCTGGGTGAATATTTTTCACTTGCAGCTATAGCTCAGTTTGTCACTCTTACTGACACAGCAATCAATCTCAATCCTTCTATTCTAGTTGCTTTCCAAACCTAAAGCTACATGCCCCCAAATCCTAGCCTCCTTTTGTGTGGCAGATGACATCTTCCATTGATAGTGGCTAATAAATTTACACTCAACCCACATGTGGAACGTGAACACATAAGCACCCCCCACGCAGTTCAATTCAAAGTGACATTGCCTTGTTTTTTTCCTCCTACCTCAGTAATGCAGAATAGCAGCTATAAATTAATATTCCTGCAGGGGGGAAGGTGCTGCATGGAAAGAAAAGAAAAGAACAAGAGAAGGCACTTCAATCTAGAAAATGTGTAACAAAAGCCCCAGAGCAAACCACAGTTTAGCAGACACCTTGATAAGATTCCCAGGACACAGCGCTGAGGAAGAGTGAATTCTCTAGTGAGATACATCTCACCAGTTAACCCAGCCACGTTATCTGTGCCAAAATTCAGATTAAACACAATGTCCTCCTTAGCCTCAATGCAGCTCTATTTCCAGTTCTGTGAGCCTCAGCTCTGCAAGATCAGTCTTCTCTTTAAAAAAGTATAAGCTCACATTCTGGGTCATACATCAGTTGTACCCTTTGATTACAGATTACACCCAGTAAGGTATTTTCTGTGGAAGATGCCCACAGCAATACCCATCCCAGGGACAGTGAAATGGAAGGAGAAATGATTGCATGGGTCACTTACCAGCTCCTGAGTCTGAATGGCTGCAGCAGCCCCCGCGCTTTACCTGATCCCTTGCTCTCTGTCTCTCTCCCTCTCTCTCCCTCTTTCTCTTGTGTACAGATTGCAGGGGACTTAAAGAACTCCCAGGGACAGTGTTTCAAATGACTTAAGAAAGAGAACAGGAACAATACTTCGTTCTCTTTTTCTCAGATGAGTACCTTCGGGAAGAAGGAAGGAAGGGAGGGGAGAGGGAGGAAGTCAACAACCCTTTGCTTTCCTGAAAAAAAATAAGGAAACAGAAGATAGACATCTCATTTTCTCTTAAACAAAATGTTGGAAGGGGCAAAAAAAAAATCTTTGAAAAAAAGGAATTCCTTAAATATGCTCTCTGCCCCGGGAGCTTTAAAGAGATGAAAAGCCTTTACTGGCCTGGCCTGTCCAAACAAATGGTGTTCCAGAAAGGCAGGCTCTTCTGAGCTTGCAGCCTCTGATATCTGGTTTGCAGAACTGACACAGCTAAAAGGGAACAAATCATGCCATGTTGACTCTGAGCAAAGGAGAGTTTGGTCTGTTGGGTTCACTGAGGCAAACCTGCAGCCCGTGTGCGCGGTTCAAACGTTCAGCCAGGACTTTGGGCTCTTCCTTGGCCCTTGGAAATGCCAGCATTGCTGCAATTCCTCAACTTGACTCTAGATCCTTAGCATTCTTCAGGATGGAATGGCAGATTTACGCACTGGTCATGAAGTTTTATGCTACAGACAGTCAAGCTTCCATCTTCGATGATGAGTGAAAAAAAAAAAAAAAAAAGCAACTTACCACGCTGCTGCTGGACATAGTTACCTCAGAACTGTCCTTTACATACCGAATGCTTGTTGGATTTAGTCACCTCTGGAAAAACTGGAAGGTGATTTCTAATTTGTTTTCAAAATACGGTGAAGCAGCATAGTTCATAGGTCAGAAATAAGTCAGCCACAGTTTTTGAAAATGATGGGCAGGCTGAGGAGAGAGAAACTGAGGAGGCCATCCTTTATCATGGTTGGGGGTTGAGGAATTCATGGGCGAGGTGTGAGCTCTGCTTCAGGGTTAGGTGCACTTCAGAATAGTCTTGGTTAAAATTCTCTGCATTGTGCGTCTTATGTTCTTCATTAATCTGGTTACTTACGAACATTTTCATTACCAAAAGGAACCAGCAGTTATGTGGATCTTTGTGGCAGCAAAAGAAAAACCACCTTTAAGGTACTTCCTTATTTCACTCAATTTTGAAAAAAAAATGGAGTGGAGAATTGTAACCTGAGCAATTACAAGCAGTTACAAAGAGCAATTAAAGTGAATGCATTCTCTGTAAGACTTTTATTGGGTCCTTCACCCACTAAGGTTATTCTTTTAGTCCAACAGTTTTCTTCCCCCATTAATATCTATTACTGTCTCTATGTGTATTATCTGTCTGAGTGTGTGCGTACAGAAGGTATTGTTATACTGTAAGTTTGTAAGACCCAAAAAGAATGAAGGCTTTTGCTTTGCTTTTGCCATGGCTCCAGTACTGCAAACACATGGCACTGGATTTTCTGGCATACATGATCTAAACCCACCTATATATAAGAAAACTGACACCCAGAGAAGAGTCTCTATAGTCTGGCCAAGGTCACACACAGCAGGGGCAAAATCAAGATGCTCACTGGTCTCCTGGGTCAGTTCTCCTGCTCTTTGCCCTCTGCTGGCCTTCCTCTATATCCTGCCTTTGTAGAAATGGGAAGGAAAACGCAAGTGCAAAGCGAAGAAAGCAAGAGAAGCATGAGACTGGACTGCTGCGGGAAGAGGAGTGGACTCTTGAAAGGAGCAGCCATATGGGGGAAACCTTGGGGTCACTGGGGGGGCACTAAAGCCCTCTGCTGACATGTACAATGACAAGTGAGAGTCGGGGGGAGGCCGCTGAGGGGACAGTGAGGCGAGTTGGGAGAGGCCGGGCTAGGTTTCTGTGGCCTCAGTCAGTGGAGGAAATGAGGGGTGTGAAGGAACAGAGGAGCTCAGGCTCCACAGGCCTTGCAGGGATGGAAATGTCTGCGATGGGCTGAAGAATCAGTGGCAGCTACAGGCAGCTTTCCCTCTTTTCATTCCTCTTGCAGCCTCAGGGCAAGGCCAGGGCTGAGCCCCAGGAGCCCAGTCAGAATCCAAAGGATTTCCCTTTCAAGTCTGCAGAATGTGGGGACTGTCACGTTGAGAGGGTTGTTTTCTCCAGGCCAGCTGACCCGCCCAAAGACAGCCTGCGGGGGCCCTGGGCCACCACAGCTGCGCAGCTTGGGTTTCATGCAGCAGCTCCAGTCGGGATCTGGAGACATCACCCTTGGCAGGGCTGCAGGGCCCTCTCTCATGTTGAAAGCTCCTGTGAAGCAGCAGGGGCCTCTGCTATGTCAGCCCCAGTGCTTCAGAGGGGATTCTCCAGCCTGCCTGTGCCAGGCTGTTCCCCTCAGACCTCCTGGTGGCCTGCCTTGAGATTCCTAGCAGAGACTGCCCCCTCTTTCCCTGCTCTGCCAATCCTAGAAGTCTCCTCTCTTCCTGGTAGCATCAGCCTCTGGCTGTCTAGCAGCTGCAACTCCTGAGTCCCTCCCATGAGGTTTCACAGGAGAGATTTATTTCTAGTCAGGTCATCAGGTTGGTGAAGCTCACTGTCCTGCTATGCATGTCTTTTTGCTTTTCAGATTCTGAGTGCAAGCGGAGGGAATGGAGGTTTGCACTGCAGATGGCTGAGGAGGTGCACGTGCAGATGTGGATGTAGAAATCTTTTAGGTAGAAAAGATGGGCTGTTCTTCCCTGTCACTGATTGTGGGACAGGTGAAAAAAACTAGGATAATGAAATTTAATGAGAAGAAATGTTAAGCTCAGAACCAGCATTACAGAAATATGAATTCTATTCAAACTGGAATCCAGTTCTTAAGTAGCCTAACTGCTACTTCTTCACCTTCCCATTATCCAGAACTCTAGGACTGTCTGATCACCCCAGGACTAACTTTGACTTTAATTAACAGGAGGGTGAGGAAGTGAAGGAAGGAATGAAATGCTCAGAGCAGTGCACTAAGAAATAAGTGTACAAGTCAGTGACCTTGAACAAAATGAACACATCTGAGTAAGAGCACCCAGCTCAAGATACAGAGGACCCCTGCACCCCTCCATCGACTGCCTCACCCCAGGGCTCACATGATTTGGTCACCTCATTGTGCATTTATTTAACAAACAGCATTGGTTTGCACTTGTTTGTTTTGATTTCATTGTATCAATATCTTGTTCTGGAGATTCTCCCTAGTATTGAGTGTAGTTGTGGTTTACTCACTCTCCTTGCTGGACAGTATTGCATTCTGTAACTTCCCAGTTATAGACCCCTCTACTGAAGATGGACAATCAGATTGTTGCTAGCCTGGAGCTGTTATAGGGGGGCTCCAGAAATATTTCCATCACTGCCAGATTTTTTTTTAAAGCCTGATATAGGATCCACTTCTCTGCAGTGAGATTGTCCATTCCATTCGTAATCTTTTGGTTTCTTTCGCATCCTCTTCCTCTCATATGGGGTATATAGCGTAGTGGGGGTTTTTTTTTTATTATTTTTAATCAAATGGATTTGGTTTTAGGACATTGTGTTGCACTTGGAGATATTGGCAGAATTCCTGAGCAGCTTCAGAATATATTGGGAGCCACTGTTCTTGCTTCCTGCTGCAGCCTGGAGATGCTAGTTCCTGATCGGAATCACACTCTCTGGGCTCTCCACGTCCCTTCCAGATTCGTGGAAAGTGGGTCTCTCCTCCCGCCTCTGGGCTGCTCACAGACATGCTAAGTTTCGTTACTGGGCCTGAAATTGCTTGAAACTTCCTTTGTTGTTTGATTTATTCTCTTCATCTTCATCCAAGCCCCTATATCTTCCAAGTCCCAACTCTCAAACCCCGAGAATGTTCATTTCTTTCTTCCCTTTTAGTTGTTTTTTTTTTCCCCCAACATGAAATAATGATAGGATTCATTTGAACAAATTACTGAAGAAAGTATGTTTTATGCATCCAGTTTCCTTATGTGATAGGTGGGAATAATAACACAACACCTATATTTTATAGTTTTAGGAATAAAGCAAAATCACTAACATTTCTCATTTACCATGTGCCAGGCGCTATTCTAAATACTTTACATGTCAAAACTTACTTAATTTTCACAACAGTCCTATGAAGTAGCTGCTATTATTGTCCTCTATCTCTTCCCTCCTCTCCTTTTTTGATAGATGAGGGAATTGAGGCATAGAGACTTTATATTACTTCTCAATAGGATAAGTTAACAATATTGCTAGCACAGCAATATTTCAAACCCAGAGAATTCTAGGTCAGAGCCCTAATTTTTAACCACAGAGGTAACTTACCCTGTCTTCCAAACAAACAAATCACATAATAAAATCTTGGTGAATTATCCCCCAAATTGGAGAACAACATATTTTATAAAATAAAAGGCAAAAATAATATGGCAAGAAGGCTCACATGGTCATAATTTACTAAGCATGTCTTATGGACCAGAAGGCTCGTGGGCGGTTAATATGCTGCTGGATTTTAATGCCTCATAGAGTAGAGACACACTAAATAAGTTAAATCATACCAAATGGTTGACTGATTAAGTGGTCAGTGCTTTGAAGAGGAAATATAGGAGCAAGGAGAGTTTATTCTAGTCAGAACCAACTCTGGTCAGAAGGTCAGGAAGGTCTTCCTGAGAAAATGGCCTGTGAGCTGAGACCTAAAGAATGGGCAGCATGGGCCAGATAAAGCTATGGAGACTGCGGTTGTTTGTGCAAGGGACAGCCTGGTGGTCTGAGTTCATAATTTGAACTTGACCCTGAGATGGGTAGGAAATCATTTTACACAGGGGAGGGACATGATGATGTTTGCACTGCAGAGAATCTGTTCTGGTTCCTGTGCAAGGTTGGGTTGTGGAGGGCCAAGATGGGAAGCAGATGACAAGTTGTCAAGTCTAGTCTAAGTTTGATCATGCCAGTAAGGGCTATCATGAAGGACAGGTTGGTGTCTGGACAGGTCATGGGATGATACAGTTTAAGACCTGTGCTGATATGTTGCATGACAAGAGTCTATTGCAGAAAGAATATAGGTGATGCCTGGCACATGGAAAGCTGGCTTATGAAAGTCCACACTTTTGAACAGCAA